TCCTTGCCATCGTAAGTGATTCAGGCTGACAAAGCTGCTGGCTAGCTTCATAACCGAACGACTAGAGCCACCGGCTGGACCTGTTGAAGCTAGATCTGTATCCTTTATACAATGGTTGCATACTCGAGAGCGTCTGTACTGGATGGGACAAATGCTGGCAAAAATTTCACTTTGTTTGAATAATTGACTGAAAGATATTCACGAATTGGCCCCACCGTATACCGAAGGAGGAGTGTCTGAACTTGCGAGTGCTGGATTGCGTGGGGATGACATGGACCCGTCATGTGGAGGACATTGCCACAGCCAGAAAGCACCGTTTACGAAAATGTGCTCTTCTTGGTTTTGTGTTTTTGGCTAATTTTTCGTTAATGATGGTATCCCTTCCTGACGACATCTGCCTCATCACGGAAGAAATCTCAGCACGGATGGATCGGTGTCACAACTCGTCCTCCCAAAATGACAACCACCACTCTGTTGAGGAAGCTTTCGAAGCCAACTTTCTCTGCATATCTAAAAAAAGGTACGGATTGGATAGATCATCTTGTCATCTTTTCCTGCTCATTCTAGGCTGATCTCGAGGAGGCGTGCATTGAGGCCCGACAAGCCGAGGAGTGCAGCAAACGAGCGATGGCGGATGCAGCACGATTCATGGATCAAGTCCGTCAGGAGCAGGAACATGCGAGGCAACAGGAGAAAGCGAGAAAGCAAATGGAGCTCCAGAATCGTGACCTGATGGCCAACCTCGAAGAGGTCAAGTCGGGCGTCTCGAAGGACGGTAGGAAGATGCTTCTGAATCTGGAACAACGAGTGCGTGATCTTGAGGCCGAACTGGCGACGGAGCAGCGCAAGCAGGCAGACACGCTGAAGGGTATGCGCAAAATGGAGCGCCGGCTCAAAGAGGTCTACATGCAGGTCAGCATTTTTACGTCTCATTCTATACATCCGACCTGTTGGTCTGTCTGACGACGGGTTGCCTAGACAAGTATAGAAGGCTTACTGCCCATTTAGCTCGTACAAATAAAGCATTCTTGAGCCATTACTCAATTTGAACTGGTATCACGTCGCAATTTTGCTTAACTGTACAATTATTATTGTAGTGAATTCCATTTCAATTAAAATGGTATGTGCGTTATTGTATGTGTGTGTGTGTGTGTGTGTGTGT